AACTATCTCAAGAGCGAACTGTGAATAACTGATGGATAGACCGACGAACAACTAAATACACAGTAGCGCTCGACTCAACCGTACACACTGGTCATGTAACATTGTAACATTTTAACATTCAGGCGAGCACGAACTCTGTTACATTACATCAAAATGCTCCAGTGTGTACCCACCTTAACGCACGTCCGCCGCAGACACCGTCCTGACCTAGTTAGTCATCCAACGACCTTTGCCATACAACTGGCCGTCGTTGGGTCATTTTTCCGGCCGATATACGGCTCCTCGTTGTCTACCGCCTTGTTTTTTGTCGTGCCTCCACACCTCCATCTCTGTGCCTCCATATGGCCATCGTTGTGCCTCCATAACCTGCGTTAAGCCGCTTAGCCGTTATTGTGATGCTTCCGATAAGGTGGTCGATCGAACGAACGACACACATGTACCTCGTATCGTTCGTACTCGTCTCATAATATTATACCACAGAACAATGTAGAATAGACACTCGGTCAGTTGTGTGGGTTTACGTATTCCCTATTCATGGTTCGACCGTTATGGGCCCTACGGTGAATTGCAAAGCCTAACCTAACCTAACCTATGTCGTAGTAGTCTAGTAGTCGTTCGAATATTTCGAAGCACTCGAAACCCGTACGCGACACCGAGTATTCACAGTACTGCCGTAACACCTGTAAGTGACGAATCGAACGGGAGGACATCGACGTTAGTGGGCACATTGTCGCCGTCACTCATACCCCACATAACCTCAAATCGAGTCGTCAACCGTCAAGTCGTCACCGGAACCAGACGCCGTGTACTATATGATGATGTGGAACCTGTAGGTATATCTTTAATCATGGTTTCGTGTTTCTGAAATAAATTACTATCCTGTGCATTGATTTTATAATATACAGAAAGGCCATAATATATGTTCGCGCCAACTGCAGCGCGATATTTTGGCAAGACTGCGTAGTCTGCGTACGTTGTCCCACTGTCAGCAATATTTCAGCTTGCGATAGCATTTTTTCTTATCAAGCTGATAGTGGATGGCCTGTGACTGCGACAGTCCGTTAATCGTTATTTCTTAAATTTTTATATTCGTAGCTTTTATTTTATTATGGTTTTGTCCGCTGATTTTCTATTTTTATTATTTATTTCTTTCTGTATAATCTCTGTTGTGCGTCAGTGTCATCAAATATTGTGTTAAATTTATTATTTTATTGTATCTCGATGACACTGTCCACAGCAAAGGTTATAAAAGGCTGGACGCACCGGCTCCGATCGCCTCTCTTTCATTATTATTCGGTCCGAAGTCATCGTGATTGTTTTCTCGTATATAAAAGCACATGTGCCAGTCAGTTCCTTCACATCAATACATCATTGGTTTTTTTT